GTGTACTTTGATTTGTCTAAGCGCCCACGCCTGTTAAATGCCGATAAATGATAGAGAGGGTATCTCAGTAAATAGCAATATCAGTTCGTTTTAATTGTGCATTCCTATTATTCTTGAACACAGTCAACATTTATGGAGATGTATTTAGATAGCTTTTATAGGCATATATTTAGATAGCTTTTATCAGTATACAAATATACGCTATGCACATGTGTGAGTCTATCTATCTATCTATCTATCTATCTATCTCTCTATATATATATGTTTGTGTGTGTGTGTGTTTTTTCTGTGTGTGTGCCTATATTTGAAGAGAAACGTAGGCCTGTCTGTCTTACAATTTTATTCATTTGATCTATAAAATAATTATTAACTCTGGTAAAATAAGTTTTGCGCTTCAATTATCTGACAGCCATTTGTAATTTTCTTTTCTAAGATGGATTCCGCAGACATGAGTAGGTAGATAGTTTCATTCCGGTAGTCGAACTCAGTGTTACGAGTAAGGGGCGAGTAGGCGGAGTTATCAAATATTCGGCCTCTTCTACTCGACGGGGGATCGAGAATGACTTCTGTGACCCTGACACCGTCCTATCATAATGTTGTTATACATAATGTTTTCTTGTTGTCCTCCGCAAAAGGTGAGTGACAGGTCAAAACAAGATGGCGTCGATGATGGCGGCAATGCAAAAATCTTCCAATCATTATTGCCCCTTTCCGCGCTTTCTTATTCGTCTTTCTTAACTCTCTTCTTTCGTAAAGACAGAGAGAGGAAAAGAGAGAGGGACATATTTCATTTATGACATTTTCCTCCTTCATTTCTCCCAATTATTGGCATACATGTATATATATATATATATATATATATATATATATATATGTGTATATTATGTGATGATGTATTATTATGTGTGCGCGCGGACGCGTGTTTCTTATATTTTTTCTTACATAAATATAATTTCTTTAACTTTTCTTTCTCATAAGACTGTTTTCTTTAGATACTGACTTTTCAAAAATAAATACACACACACACACATATATATATATGTACAACACACACACACACACACACAAACACACACACACACACATATATATATATATATATATATATATATATATATATAGGGTGTTTCATTAAGACGGATTATATATAAGGGTGTTTCATTAAGACAGATCAAAGTCAGCAGTAAATAAATCAGTGTTATTGGTGAAAATTTATTTATTTCTCTATTGGATCATGTTATTTAAGTCATGGCAATTATGGGTGAAAAATAATATCACCCAAATGTCCGCCAAATCTGGAAGAAAAAAGAAAAAAATCATTAGACGCTTAAAATTAATTCACAATTAAATTCGGTCCAAGTTATTGGAACACCCTTTATATATGTGTATGTGTGTGTGGATGTGCGTGTGTCTGTGTGTCTGTGTGGAGGGGTGCTTCCTATATTTTTGTACGCATTTTTCTTTCTTACAACGTTGATTTTCATTAGAAAAATAAAGAAAATTATTTTTTAGGCGATGCCGTGCAGTAAAAATATATGACTAATGTGATTTTTTTTTTATCCATTATTATTAAAAATGTAAATTATAAAATCTTTATTATGGTAATACAAGGACTTCTCAGTACCACCTGAAGCGACCAAGCAAACGTATTAATATATATATATATATATATATATATATATATATATATATATATATATATATATATATATATATATATATATATATATATATATATATATATATATATATATATATATATATATATATATATATATATATATATATATATATATATATATATAATGATTTATAATTTCGCTGTGGTGTAATGGTTATGCTTGTCTCAGATCGGTTACAACTGAAAAAGTGAGTTCGATCATAACTAAATGCTCCATATTTTCGGCCTTGTGCCACATCTAAGCTACGCTTGGAAAATAACTATATGATATCTGTTTGATGTGAATTCGGATAATAAGTACTTGTTCTCATGCCTACATTTGGAGATTATCTCTGATTTTTTGTTTAGTAAGTTCTTTTGCGGTTTGTGTGATATAATTGCTACTTTTTCGGGTAGGCAAAAGTAGGCATTTTTCGTAATATTGTTGTTTGGCAGGGGGCTTTTTTTTCAATATTTCCCAACTTATTGTTGGTGTGATGTTTTTGTTTTTTGCTGCCATATGTATGTAGAAAGTGTTGTGCTGTTCGAATATTTCCTGTTGTTGAATGAAAGGTTGTGATTGTTATTCCTCATCTTGAATGGACCTTCGGTGGCATCGATGTAGTGCATAGTGTTGTTGTTTGTACTTACCTTGGCCTTGTATATTGTGTTCGTAAGTTGGCAATTTCCCTGGAGTGGACATGTTCTGTTTCTGCAGTTGCATATTGGATCCTTGGTTTCATTTTTGTCGGTTGTCGTTTTTTTGTTGTGGAAATAATAATAATTTTTACCTATCATAATTTTACACAAACCCCACCACAATATATACATACATGCGATTTTCTCAAGTCTTATATATTCGTTAGTTTTACACGGATAAGTACTAGTCTCTTCATATTTTATGGCAACCTTGTAATTCAAGAAAGGGAAAAGAATATAGAAAGCATGGTTTGGTCAAGTAACACGGCAGAACAGACTCTGCAAGACCATCATACAGGGTACTATTGAATGCGAACGTGAAAGGGGGCGGTAACTCTAGTACTGGTGAGAGTGGGCGGATATGACAATTCCGATACTCCAAAAAGGCAATGCCAACAGATAACCCCGTAGGCGGCTGTCTGTTACTTCGGCCGTTAGGTTCCCCCGACAATTGAAGCCGTCAAGGGGCTTGATGATGATATATCTTACAAGGTCTGCCTGAAAATTAACAAGAATTGTGTCATAAACATTCATTTCAATTTTAAATAGAAAAATACAAGGTTTCCTTTCAAAGTAATCGCCCCGAGTCTAATGCATTTTTCCATCCTTCTCTGCCAGGCTATTATAGGGTTTCCCAGCAGCCACCCTTTAGACTACCCTCTTGTGGCCTACATCAAATGCCTCGAGGAGATAGTGATGCCCTGGAACAAGAAAGTGGCTGCAGGAAGAACCTATATCTGTCAACAAGATTCTGCAGCACGCCACACAAGCAGGCGAACCCAGCGATGGCAGTCAAACAATCTTTGCGGCGACATCATCACTTATATCTGGCCACCTATCTCACTTGACTGCAACCCTCTTGACTATTATGTGTGGAGTGCTGTTGAGGAAGAGACCATCAAAATTCCTTGTACAACCAAAAATGAAATGAAGGCAACGATTATGGCAGCATTCACCAACTTAATCAAGGAGACCGTCCAGAAGAGTTTCAGGAGATTCCGAAGTTGTCTGGAGGCCGTGGTTGAAGCCAATGGTGATTTTATTGAATAAATTTACTCTTTAGTATTTCAAGATATTTGGTGTGATTTTAGTAAATATATCTGTTAAAATGTGATATCAGTGGTATTTTCATTTTTATCCATCGAAATTATAGACACACACACACACATACACATATATATATATATATACATGTGTGTGTGTGTGTGTGTACATAACCGAACGTCTAGCCACACTTATGAGCTGTGATACAGTGAAAAAGTCTGTCTGTGGATGACAATATATATATATATATATATATATATATATATATATAATTATTATTTATAAAAATAACATAAAGAAATGTTAAAAAAATCACTACGAGGGTTGACAAATGGCTATTTTGTAGTGATTTTATAACATACTTATGTTATGATTTTTATAAATAATAATTATATCTGCTCCACTTGTATTGAGCACTCTTTTAAGAATAGTAATTGTTGGTTATTGGAATTCATTCCGTATATACCAATTATATATATATATATATATATATATATATATATACATATATATATATATATATATATATATATATATATATGCGTGTGTATGTGTGTTTGTGTGTTGAGAGAAGAACGAAATGGGCAGAATATATATTAAAAACCCAGGTTATTTTTATAGACAGAGAATTATATATATATATATATATATATATATATATATATATATATATATATATAACCTATCGTAACGAAGATTCGAACCTCAGTTACAATGACCACGGATACATATATATATATATATATATATATATATATATATATATATATATATATATGCGTGTGTGTGTGTGTGTGTGTGTGTGTGTGTGTGTGTGTGTATATATATTCATGGCAAGAGTTCTTATGGGCTTTTTTTAAAATGAGGAACGAGATTGACAGCTTGTCCCTATCGTTTCACTGTTGAAATAAGTAGATGCAGCCGCATGTTCTATTCTAATAGTTTCTTCACCAAAATTTTTCGATTGTGGTATTCTCCTCTGACGTCCTGCTTTCCATTCAACTACGACCTTCAAATATTTATAGACAGCATGAATTGCTTCCTCCTGTCTTCCTAGATCCTGTCATTTCATTGTCCTTCCTTTGCAATAACGTTTTTTTCAGTTTCTTTCACACTTAGTAATCCATTGTTTCTTATTGGATTTTTCGCCTTGCTTGTGGCGAAATGATTAAGCAAAATATAGAAGTTAATGAACAAAATTAAACAGCAAAAAGAGACTGTGACAGACTGGAAAGAGAGAGAGAGAGAGAGAGATAGATTCTAGTGTAATGAGAGAGACGCAAAACATCAACATTAATTAGGAAATAAGAAAGTTAAAAGAGACTGTGTTTTTGTGGGAGTGAAAGGATGAATATAGAATGGAAATAAGATTGCCTGAGGAACCTATATCTCACTTCAAATACAGTTTTACACTCAGCGACTATTCAGTAAATCCACTCCAGCCTGATCTAAACCCATTGTTAAGTGCCATTCTTTTTCAGTTTGTCTTGAACTAAGCCCGGTATCTTCCGCTGCGTTTGCGCCTGGGTGATTCCTTTCCTTTTTCTAACTCATTTCCTTCTCACTTATCACCTTCTTTTTGATAACTTACGTCCTCATGCGGCCTCGAGTCGCTTCAAGTAACCTCCAAGCAAAGAAGAACAGATTAACCTTCTTCTTCTTCTTCTTCTTCTTCTTCTTCTTCTTCTTCTTCTTCTTCTTCTTCTTCTTCTTCTCCTATTCCTCCGTTACTTTTTTATCTGCTTACTTTCTCATACTATTTCCTCACTTTCTTCTTCTTCTTCTTCTTCTTCTTCTTCTTCTTCTTCTTCTTCTTCTTCTATTCCTCCGTTACTTCTTTGTCTGCTTTTTCTCCCATTATTTCCTCTTTCTTCTTCTTCTTCTTCTTCTTCTTCTTCTTCTTCTTCTTCTTCTTCTTCTTCTTCTAGTTCTTTTTCTAATTCTTCTTCTTCTTTATTATTATTACTATTATTATTATTATTATTATTATTATTATATTTCGATTTCTGCTATGGTCACCTTACCTACCAAGGCTGTGGAAAGACCTAAGACAGACAGCGGCGTGTTGTTATGGCTACATTTCATGATTTATTTTTCTGACTCCCATAACATCCCTAGCGTTACATGGACAGAGTTCTTCTTAGTGGGTGGGTTATACTGACCAAGACAGAAGGTTCTTGGATTCGGTTTTGTTTTTCTTCAGGATCTACTATATATAAATCTCGTATTGACAACCTTTTTTCATGATTGAATTTTTTTCTGTTTTCGTGTTGTTTGACTAATTGTATCAGCCAGCCCTTTTTTATTTCCATGTATGTTAGTAAACAAATAGTTGTCTTGTATGACAATTCTAGTTGAATATGATCTCTTCCGCCTTCTTTACGGAGTATGTATAGACAGCCTGCGTCAGCCTTTGGATGATGCATGTTATGCTTAGAAATAAGTTCTCATGTCTTTAGAATCCAGTCGTCTGATGTCATTTAGAGTCTAGTCCAAGATGTTGAAACTATATTGAATAATTGAGATGGCAAGGCTATTAATGGCCATAATTCTGTTCTGAGAATTCAGTTCAGTTCTTAATATCAGGCGCACTATTCTATAGTGCTCTTCTTGCACTATTTCTTTCATTTTTATGGTGAATTTCTTCACCCTCATTTACACCGAGGTACTTATAAGCTTCTTGCTCTAAATCTTTGATTGTTACCCCAGAGCCTAAGCTAATAGAGGAGGTTTGTTGTAGTGACTCTCGTAAAACTGTGGCTTTAGCACATTTATCCAAACCGAATTTCATTCCAGTGTCATCACTGAAACATTTTACTGTTTTCAAGAGACCTTCCAGCTCACTGTCATTCCCAGCATACAACAAAAGTCATTCATGTAAAATAGATGGCTTATTTTCTTTTGAGATATCTTATAGCCATATTCCGTCGTGTTAAGTTCGTTGTTTAATACTATTAGGGATATGTAAAATAGTAAGGGAGATAAATAGTCACTTTGAAATATTATTCTGTTGTTGATTATTTCACAAGTCTTAGAGATTCCATTTATATGATTGAGTTGATGTGTTGTTTTACATATCGAAAGTCTTTGTTTGATGAAATTGATAACGACAGGTGATACTTTGTATATATTTAAAGACTTTGCTATCCAGGAATGGGGTGGGGTACATTATCGAATGCATTACGCTAATCAATCCAGTTAGTACTATGATTTTTTCTTTGTAGTGAAGCAGTTTTCTAAGATCATTCTATTGATAAGTAATTGGTCTTTACATCCGTAAGAGCCAGGTTTGCACCCTTTTTGTTCAAGAGGTAGTACCTGAGAAAGAATATGTCTGCTTTGTCAGAATATATGTTAACAGTTTGTAAGTAGTGAGAAGACATGTAATTGGTCTGTCGTTTTTTGTTTTTTGTTTTTTAGTGGGGGGATATTTGTGCCACCATTCCTGGGTAGAAGGAAGGTAATTCCTTCGGTTACCCACACTGGAACTTTAGTAGGATCATTGACCATTTCTTGAAGTTTAATGGCTAGTTCTTGTATGCTGTATTTGAGTAATAGAGTAAAAAGTTACGAATTTTATCCATTACTGGTGATTTCATGTTGTGTCCATTTTCAGTTCACATTCAACATGCAATTCTGTGATTTCCACCCATGTTTATTCTGGGTTGTTCATCCGTTCTACGTCTTGGGTAATCCAATTTTCTTCTTTATTATATTCTTTAGGGAAAGATAGGACTTCATTTCTTTAGCTGATAGGACTTCATTTTCATTCCTAATGTATTTTTCTTTTGATTCGTCTGCCTTTTCTAATCTTTACATTTCTTCCTCTTGGCAGTTGATCGAGTACTGATAATTCACTTTATTTTAGTTTGACTTTTAGTTCTCATATTCTTCCCACGAGTGATGCACTGGTTCAAACGTCCACCCTATGTTTCCCGGCACATTGGGTAACGGCCTTTTAAGGACAGGGTCCCGAAGCCTGTAGGGGATCATTCGCGACCTCATAACGTAGCTGCCATTCACTCCTCGGTACGATTAACACATTCAGTTATGGATTGTTGTTCGGAGTTTCCTTCTCCTGGATGGGTTTGTAAGAGACAGAGACGGGATTGGAATTCAAATTACTATTCAATTTTTTTTTATCTTTTTAAATTTCCTACGCTTTTCTAAACTTCTTATTGTTTTTGTTGTTGCTGCTTCTTCTTCCTCTTTCATTTTTATCTTTTTAAATTTCCCCTTGTTTTCTAAATTTATTCATTTTCTTCTCATTTGTATTCTTATTCTTTCATTCTTTTAAATTTATCCTTCTTTTTTAAGTATATTCATCTGCTCCTTCTTCTTCTTCTTCTTTATCTTCTTCTTCTTCTTCTTCTTCTTCTTCTTCTTCAATACCCATTCATTTCATCTTTACTTGCTTCACTCTTCCTCTTCCCCTATTTCTCCTGCTTTCCCCTATGCTCCTTTATCGTTTCTGTTTCCACCACCTCCTCCTCTTCTTCTTCTTCTTCTTCTTCTTCTTCTTCTTCTTCTTCTTCTCCTCCTCCTCCTCCTCCTTCTTCTTCTTCTTCTTCTTCTTCTTCTTCTTCTTCCTTCTTCTTCCGTCCTTATCTTTTTAAATTTCTCATTTTTTTTTATAATTTATTCATGTTCTTCTCATTGCTCTTTTTCTTTAAGCCTTTTAAATTTATTCTTCTTTTCTAAATATATTCATCATCATCTTTATCTTCGTTTTATTCTTTTGATTATTATTATTTAATAATATTTTTTAAAAATGTCACCTTCTTCTTCTTCGTACTCGTCGTCTTTTTCTTCTTCTTCTTTTTATTTTCCTTGAATTTATGAAATTATCGCTACTTCTCTTAATTTTTTAACCTTTTCTTTTCTTAAAGATTTCTATTTCTTCTTCCTTTTTTCATTCCCATATTTCGTTCCAATCTGTACACTGCCTAGTCTTATCCCCTCTACCACCATTTCCTGCTTGAGAAAAATAGCTTTGCCTAAATATTTCCACTCCATCTTGTTTTGGTTTTGGTCCCCAATTCTAGCAACTTCCCATATATAGTTTTAATTTACCCATTTTGCTCTCTTTCTTTCTTTTTCTCTTTTTCCTTTACGTCTACATTTTTCTTTATTTCTTTTTTTTTTCTTTCTTCTTATACTTAATCTTTTCGTCTTCAATATTTTTACTCTTATTTCCTTTTCTTATTTTACTCTCTTCAACTACTTATTCCGTCATTTTATTTTTTTCTTCCTATCTACATATATACTACTACTTTTCTATTTTATTTCCCTCTTTTTCTTCTCGCTGCAGTTTCTTGTTCTACTTATTTCCCCTCTTCTTGGACAGTTTTCTCCTTCTCCTGCTCTTCTTCTTCTTTTCCTATTAATATTACAACTAATACTACTAATACACTTCCGTCATGTTTTCTTCATTTTTTATCATCATTTCCTTCGTCATTTCCTTATTGTTCACATCTTTCTCGTTTCTTTAATTATTTTAACTTCCTCTTCGGTTTTTTCTTTACCTTCTTTTTACCTCCAACAAATCTTCTTCTATTTCTGTTCTTCTCCTGTTTTACTTCTTTATCTGTTTGCTTTCTACTACTATTTCCACACTTTCTTCCTCTTCTTCTTCTTCTTCTTCTTCTTCTTCTTCTTCTTTTTCTCCTCCTCCTATTCCTCCGTTACTTCATTATCAGCTTTCTTTCTACTACTATTTCCTCACTTTCTTCCTCTTCTTCTTCTTCTTCTTTTCCTCCTCCTCCTATTCCTCCGTTACTTCTTTATCTGCTTCCTTTCTCCTACTATTTCCTCACTTTTCTCTTCTTCTTCTTCTTCTTCTTTTCCTCCTCCTCCCTATTCCTCCGTTACTTCTTTATCCAGCTTCCTTTCTTTTCCTATTTCCTCCTTTTCCTCTTCTTCTTCTTCTTCTTCTTTTCCTCCTCCTCCTATTCCTCCGTTAGTTCTTTATCTGCTTCCTTTCTCCTACTATTTCCTCACTTTTCTTCCTCTTCTTCTTCTTCTTCTTTTCCTCCTCCTCCTATCCTCCGTTACTTCTTTATCTGCTTCCTTTCTCTACTATTTCCTCACTTTTTTACCTCTTCTTCTTCTTCTTCTTCTTTTCCTCCTCCTCCTATTCCTCCGTTACTTCTTTATCTTAACTTCTTTCTCTACTTTTCCTCACTTTCTCCTCTTCTTTCTTCTTCTTCTTTCCTCCTCCTCCCTATTCCTCCCTTGAACTTCTTTATGTACTTCATTTCTCTCTACTTCTTCTCACTTTCTCCCTCTTCTTCTTCTTTTCTTTTCCTCCTCCTCCTTCCTCCGTTACTTCTTTGTCTTTTCCTTTCTCCCTATTTCCTCCACTTTCTCCCTCTTCTTCTTCTTCTTCTTTTCCTCCTCCTCCCTATTCCTCCGTTACTTCTTTATCTTTCCTTTCTCCTACTATTTCCTCTTTCTTCCTCTTCTTCTTCTCTTCTTTTCTCTTCCTCCCTATTCCTCCCGTTACTTCTTTATCTGCTTCCTTTCTCCCTATTTCCTCCCTTTCTTCTTCTTCTTCTTCTTCTTTCCTCCTCCTCCCTATTCTCCGTTACTTCTTTATCTGCTTCCTTTCTCCTACTATTTCCTCATTTTCTTCCTCTTCTTCTTCTTCTTTTCCTCTTCCTCCTATTCCTCCGTTACTTCTTTATCTGCTTCCTTTCTCCTACTATTTCCTCACTTTCTTCTTCTTCTTCTTCTTCTTTTCCTCCTCCTCCTATTCCTCCGTTACTTCTTTATCTGCTTCCCTTTCTCCTACCCCTTTCCTCACTTTCTTCTTCTTCTTCTTCTTTTCCTCCTCCTCCTATTCTCCGTTACTTCTTTATCTGCTTCCTTTCTCCTACTATTTCCTTTCTTTTCTTCCTCTTCTTCTTTTCTTCTTTCCTCCTTCATCCTATTCCTCCGTTCCTTCTTTATCTGCTTCCTTTCTCCTCCTATTTCCTCCTTTCTTCCTCTTCTTCTCTTCTTTTCCTCTTCCTCCCTATTCCTCCGTTACTTCTTTATCTGCTTCCTTTCTCCTTACTATTTCCTTCCTTTCTTCCTCTTCTTCTTCTTTCCTTTCCTCCCTCCTATTCAGGCGTTTTTCTTTATCTGCTTCATTTCTCCTACCTATTTCCTCTTTCTTCTCTTCTCTCTTCTTCTTCTTCTTCTTCTTCTTCTTTCCTCCGCCTCCTATTCCTCCGTTACGTCTTTATCTGATTCCTTTCCCCGACTATTTCCTCACTTTCTCCTTCTTCTTCTTCTTCTTCTTCTTCTTCTTCTTCTTCTTCTTTTCCTCCTCTTCCTATTCCTCCGTTACTTCTTTACCTGCTTCATTTCTCTTACTATTTCCTCACTTTCTTCCTCTTCCCCTTCTTCTTCTTCTTCTTCTTCTTCTTTTCCTCCGCCTCCTATTCCTCCGTTACTTCTTTATCTGCTTCCTTTCTCCGACTATTTCCTCACTTTCTTCCTCTTCTTCATCTTCTTCTTCTTCTTCTTCTTCTTCTTCTTTTCCTCCTCCTCCCTATTCTCTCCGTTACTTCTTTATCTGCTTCTTTCTCCCTAATATTTCTTCCACTTTCTTCTCTTCTTCTCTTCTTCTTCTTCTTTTCCTCCTCCTCCCTATTCCTCCGTTGCTTCTTTATCTGCTTCCTTTCTCTGTCTTTCTTCACTTTCTTCCTCTTCTTCCTCTTCTTCTTCTTCTTTTCCTCCTCTCCTATTCCTCCGTTACTTTCTTTATCTGCTTCCTTTCTCCTACTATTTCCCTCACTTTCTTCTCTTCTTCTTCTTCTTCTTCTTTTCCTCTCCTCCTCCCTATTCCTCCGTTACTCTTTATCGATTCCTTTCTCCTTCTTCCTCCTCACTTCTTCTTCTTCTTCTTCTTCTTCTTCTTCTTCTTCTTATTTTTTCCTCCTCCTCCCTATTCTCCGTTACTTCTTTATCTGCTTCCTTTCTCTACTATTTCCTCCCTTTCTTCCTCTTCTTCTTCTTCTTCTTCTTCTTCTTCTTCTTATTTTCCTCCTCCTCCTATTCCTCCGTTACTTCTTTATCTGCTTTCTCCTACTATTTCCTCACTTTCTTCTTCTTCTTCTTCTTCTTCTTCTTCTTCTTCTTCTTTTTCCTCCTCCTCCTATTCCTCCGTTACTTCTTTATCTGCTTTCCTTTCTCCTACTATTTCCCTTTTTCTTCCTCTTCTTCTTCTTCTTCTTCTTCTTCTTATTGTTATTTTTCTCCTCCTCCTATTCCTCCGTTACTTCTTTATCTGCTTCCTTTCTCCTACTATTTCCTCACTTTCTTCCTCTTCTTCTTCTTCTTCTTCTTCTTCTTCTTATTTTCCTCCTCCTCCTATTCCTCCGTTACTTCTTTATCTGCTTCCTTTCTCCTACTATTTCCTCACTTTCTTCTTCTTCTTCTTCTTCTTCTTCTTCTTCTTCTTCTTATTTTCCTCCTCCTCCTATTCCTCCGTTACTTCTTTATCTGCTTCCTTTCTCCTACTATTTCCTCACTTTCTTCCTCTTCTTCTTCTTCTTCTTCTTCTTCTTCTTTATTTTCCTCCTCCTATTTCCTCGTTACTTCTTTATCTGCCTTTCTCCTACTTTTCCCTTTCTTCCTCCTCTTCTTCTTCTTCTTTTTTCCTCCTCCTCCTATTCCTCCGTTACTTCTTTATCATTTCCTTTCTCCTATTTCCTCACTTTCTTCCACTTCTTCTTCTTCTTCTTCTTCTTCTTCTTCCTCCTCCTCCTATTCCTCTTACTTCTTTATCTCTTCCTTTCTCTCTATTTCTCCTTCTTCCTCTTTTCTTCTTCTTCTTCTTCTTCTTCTTCTTCTTCTTCTTCTTTTCCTCCTCCTCCTATTCCTCCGTTACTTCTTTATCTGCTTCCTTTCTCCTACTATTTCCTCACTTTCTTCCACTTCTTCTTCTTCTTCTTCTTCTTCTTCTTTTTTCCTCCTCCTCCTATTCTCCGTTACTTCTTTATCTGCTTCCTTTCTCCCTACTATTTCTCACTTTTTCTCTTCTTCTTCTTCTTCTTCTTCTTCTTCTTTCCTCCTCCTCTATTCCTCCGTTACTTCTTTATCGATTCCTTTTCCATGTTTCCTCACTTTCTTCTTCTTCTTCTTCTTCTTCTTTCTCCTCTCTATCCTCCGTTACTTCTTTACTCTGCCTTTCTCCTATTTTCTCACTTTCTTCCACTTCTTCTTCTTCTTCTTCTTCTTCTTTTCCTCCTCCTATTCTCCGTTACTTCTTTATCGATTCCTTTCTCTACTATTTCCTCACTTTCTTCTTCTTCTTCTTCTTCTTCTTCTTCTTCTTCTTCTTCTTCTTCTTTTCCCTCCTCCTCCTATTCTTACTTCTTTATCTGCTTCCTTTCCTCCTATTTCTCACTTTCTTTTACATCTTCTTCTTCTTCTTCTTCTTCTTCTTCTTCTTCTTTTCTTTTCTTCCTCCTCCTGTTCCTCGTTACTTCTTTATCTTTCCTTTCTCCTTTTTTTCCTCACTTTCTTCCACTTCTTCTTCTTCTTCTTCTTCTTCTTCTTCTTCTTATTTTCCTCCTCCTCCTATTCCTCCGTTACTTCTTTGTCTGCTTCCTTTCTCTCTACTATTTCTCTTTCTTCTTCTTCTTCTTCTTCTTCTTCTTCTTCTTTTCCTCCTCCTCCTATTCCTCCATTTACTTCTTTATCTGATTCCTTTCTCCACTGTTTCCTCACTTTCTTCTTCTTCTTCTTCTTCTTCTTCTTCTTCTTCTTCCTCCTCCTCCTATTCCTCCGTTACTTCTTTATCTGCTTCCTTTCTCCTATTTCCTCCTTTCTTCCTCTTCTTCTTCTTCTTCTTCTTTTCCTCCTCCTCCTATTCCTCCGTTACTTTCTTTATCTGCTTCCTTTCTCCTACTATTTCCTCCTTTCTCCCTTCCTCTTCTTCTTCTTCTTCTTCTTCTTCTTTCCTCCTCCATCCTATTCCTCCGTTACTTCTTTATCTGCTTCCTTTCTCCCTACTATTTCCTCCCTTTCTCCTCTTCTTCTTCTTCTTCTTCTTATTTTCCTCCTCCTCCTATTCCTCCGTTACTTCTTTATCTGCTTCCTTTCTCCTACTATTTCCTCTTTCTTCCCTTCTTCTTCTTCTTCTTCTTCTTCTTCTTCTTTTTTCTCCTCCTCCTATTCCTCGTTACTAA